AATGAGATTTATGACATTATTAGCATGATAGTACCCATATCATGGCTAAGCATAGTAAATTACATGGCCAAAAGTTTGCTTATCATTACTGTGTTTATTACACTTCAGCTGATGATCTAAAAAAAAAATGGAAGAACATAAGAGATGTATATATGAGGAGGAGGCGCAACACAAAACGAAAGAGTGGTGATGCAGGCCCTCCAGCAAAGCCTGGAATGTACGATAACCTCCTGCAATTTCTGGATCGGGTTCAACCGAATACCAGGTGAGAACAAGAACAATTGTTATAGTGCGTATTGTGTTGCAAAATTTTTAATAAATGCAGTATTTTGTATTTGCAATTCAGAAAACAATTTTGGAGACTAGTCTAACAAGTACAAACTCATGTTGTACATGAGTTTGCTAGTTATAAGCACGATATACCATCATTGTTGGTGTACCAAATAATTAAAATTAAATTAATATGATGCTAAATTAATGTCAAAGAAAAGGAAGACCCAGGAAGTCATGGAAAGAGCTTGTTAAGGAGGATCTGAGAGTGTGGAACATCACAGATGAGGACACCCTAGACAGGGTTAAGTGGAAGAATGTTCTACGAACCATCACACAACGTCCAACCTGCTAGCATGTGGAACGTGGATGTTAAATGGATATGATAATGATGATAAATAAATAATGATTAAATGAATGTTTTAATTTTCAGCACATGCAGCAATCTGGAAGAGGCAGAACCCGTTACCAGTGCCACTGCGACCGATGAAGATGTAGCAAGCCAAGAAGGTACTGAAGAGGTTGATGCACCTTCTACTTCATTCGGGTCATCTATGCCATCAAGTTTAGTTACTGCAGGGCGCAGGAAGAAGCGGAAGTCGTGTGACCCTGTCACAGAAGAAATTCTGTCACAGCTGAGAAAGCTGGATGAGAAAGAGGAACAATCTGCCACAAGGCCCACAACACAGCTGCCAGATGCAGATGATTTATTTCTCCAATCGATTACCATGGAGATGAAATCACTCCCACCACAACAAAAAACGCACTTTAAAATTAAAGTTCACGAGCTTTTGTTTGAATTAAAATATAATGTGCAGTCTTTTATTGTTAATGAGGACAATATTACAGAGGAATTCGATGTGTGAAATATAACTTAATTGTAATAAAACCAACTTGGTTACTGACTGAACAAAACTCTAAACTGCAAATTGTGGTAGACTATCTCTCAATAACATCTTGAATCTCATCATTAACTCTTCATTAACTCTCAATCACACACACACACACGCACACACACACACACACACACACAC